AGCTCTTCAGTGCATCACAAGACCATGGGGGCACCTATGGGCTAACAATCTCCAAGCCAGAAAAGATGGTTCTTTTCTATTTTCCACGCTCCAAGAAAGAAGAGGCCCAGTGAGGTTTCTAGGAAAGGCTGGCCTGTTCTCTTGTTCAAGCATGTCCTCCCAGCTCAGGGCCTGGCCTGGCTCCTATCAGGTTTCCCTGCCAACTCCATCCATTCTCCAGCTGTCCTTACATGAGTTTGTCCTCGGAGAACTCCTTTCTATTCTGTGCAGATCTAAGTTAGATGTAGATTAGTCATTTTTGCCTTTCCTGTTAGATTACTGGCAACCGAGCTTGAGGGACGATGTCTCTTTTAGTAAGATGTACCTATGAAGTCCAAGGATGGCTCTGCTCCCCATGCACATTCACAGAGGTCAAGACCAAGGTTGTAACATTAGGAACACAGATTTCACCAGAAAGCACCTAGGTTATATGTTACAATAACTCCCCTGTCCCTCCAAATTCGTATACTCTATAAATGAGAGTGGGAGACTTTTCATTTCCTTGTTAAGAAATATCCAAAATATAATAAAAGAAATTTGGAAGACTTGGTAGATTGAAAGCCAAGCAGGCCTGTACTGATTAGAAAGCCCATCCTCCTGGGAAAGAGACTCAGAGAAATAACATGATTTGTCCAGGCCCAAATAGCTATTTAGTTGTAGAGCTGGGTTTTGAACATAAGTCTTGACTCCTATGATATGTTGCAAACATTACTCAAGTTTTCTTGGCATCTTATTTCCATTCAGCAGAGCCATCATTTTTACAAAAACAATATCACATGCGTATGGGACTTTCCAGTGTTTGCGGATGGATTGGCAGACAGTACCTAGAGTCTCACTGAAACCCAACTTTTCTTCTCATCACATGCACAATCACCAGTGCCCTAGCCAGGCACACAGCAAGGAAGATGATCCTGCTAATATTTCCTGATTCCTAGGGGCCAGTCCAAATTGTCCCAACCTTTAGGTTTTGCAATGCTTGACATTTTATTGAATTATATAATAGTCATGTCCTCTTTCCCCTGCCCAATCCCCGATCAAAATGTAATAAAGCAGATCAAAACGACTTTAAGAAGAATCTTAGGATATCTTCTTAAGACAAAGAAAGCTATGCTTCTGATGTTGTAAACCAGCAAAGTCCCTCGCAGCCCCTCCCTCCAGGAACATTTTAATAATACATGAGGATTTTCAGGAATTGCTAGAAGTAGGACACCCACTCTTTCCAGATTTCCTGGAATACTGAATTCTTTCTGACAAATAAGTTCATTAAGCATGTAATGAAAATTTAATTCGATTTTTAGGCCTTTGCAAATGTTTCCTATTCATCAAACCACTCATGAGAAAAATAATCCTGTGTTGGAGTGTGTGTCCTGCTGGTTTGTGTGGAAATGCAGGGTGTAACCCAATGTAGGTAGAGTGACTTAAAGGGGAGAACGCAGCCTGAATGTCTCGTGCAGGCCTGGTCTTGGCCTCCTCTCACCCTCTACCCTATCACCCAGGTCACGCACAGCAGCAGGGTCAACATCTACACTCTACTCCAAACACATGCAAGAGCATAAGCTTTCCTCCCACCAAGCAAATGTCATGATGCCTCTTGCCAAAGATGAATCTGACCCATTTTGCCCTCTAAGAGTTAAGAGATGACTTGCTATAGGCATTCACTGAGTCGTGAATGCTGAATCGCCAGTTGTGCTCATTCAATCCCATTGAACATTCAGAAGTTCCAGGGAACCCCTTCCCACAAAAGCAGCTTGACAGCAGGGCAGCAGAGGGAGCTTCACAGCGGTTCACAGCATCTCCTTTCATCTTCATCCCCCCCTCTCTGTGCACCCCTGCATTGTCAATCTGGTCAAATCTGAGTTTAAAGGTGCAGCCTAACTGACCCTCTTCCTCCTGGGTCCTTCCAGTTCCCAGCTGCAACAGTCCTTAGAGCACTCTGTGCTCCCCACCCTTTCTTCCTGTCACCTTCCGATTCATTTCCTGTAAGCTGTGACCCTTTCCTGGGAACATTAATTAACCATGATGCTTTTTTATAAGAATTCTAGGAACGTGGTATCGGGATGACTAACACTTCCGCTTTTTTAAACAGTATTTAGCATATTGGAGTGCAGCAGATAAATTCTTTGCTGGATGCTTACTCTATAACTTTATGACCCTCTCCAGCCATTCTGGGAAAAGAGAAACACACACACACACACACACACACACACACAGCACCAGTCATTTTTTAATGAGGCGTTGTCATATCACTAAAGCTCTTAGAGTGAAAACATATGGAATGCAGTATCTTTAGATGCTCCCATAACCGTCTTTATTTAGGAAAACAACAGATTTCCTTCATGCTGACAGTTTTAAGATTAAAGTTAACCACACCCTTAGAAATCATATCCTACCACTCTGCTTGATAAGAGGGTGACTTTACAATACATGTTCTATCTAAGGACTTTCACATCTGTACAATCATGAGCTGTATTAAATAAACCATGTAAATTTATGTGGTCCAGGGTCTAAATTAATTCAGGCTGAAATCAATCAAACTCTAGCTAGACCATGATTTGATTAAAAATCGAAAATATGACTCATGGCACTTAAGTTTACCAATGTTTACTGCCAAAAGAAGCATCATTGCTTTGACAGAGATAAATGCAGGAAGGGCTGGTAGATTTCTCAAAGTTGAAACAGATAGATGATGATATAGTGATGAACATGGCATTGTAGAAATTTCTACAATTGCTCAAATAAATATTTTAGGGCATTTCAGAAGAAGTAGACTCACAATGGAATCACTTAAAAGCATAGATGTATATTTTTATTTTCAGCTTCTCCAATTTTAGGTTTTCGTGTTGCTCCTTCTTATGACTCGTGTGTGTGTGTGTGTGTGTGTGTGTGTGTGTGTGTGTGTTTGGTAATTTTTTTTCAAATTCTGCTCTCCTTCTTTTCATGTTTACATATTACTTTTATGAAGTATTTCTTCTATTTTATGTTCTCTGGGTGCAAAATTGAGGTGCATTCCTACTCCATCTCAGATAATGTGTACTTTTGAACCCTGATGAAGCCTCCTTCCAGGTACGATGTGGGTGATGTGTCCCCTGCCTGAGGCTCCTCTTCAGTCTGGTGTTTTCAACCAGGACCCTGCCCCCTAGCATGAAGTGGATTTTAGGAGACGGTGGAAGGAAGTAGGATGTATGTACAGACTAACAAATATGTGCACATGGACATATTGGGACAGCATTTGAGTCCCAGGTTCTCCTGGGCACACAGGCTTGGCATGCATGCATCTGGATCTGACTCCCAGGTCCCAGAGAGAACATGTGGAGAGGGTGCTGCTATGGTGCCACAGATGCCGGGTCACACTGACCTCTTGTTTTTTGCAGCCGCCACACCCCACCCAGGACTGGCACTTCCCTGGGCTTCTCTCTGAGCAGTGCCATGGGATTTTTCCCCCAGGTTTCCCAATTAAACCTTCCCTCACGTCTGTATTTTGAGGAGGATTTTTAACATCCAAGGCAAAGAAATCAGTCATTTGAATGCTCCAGGCCTCTAGCAGGATGGGGAGAGGATACTTTTTTCTCCCCCCCCCTTTCCATATATTTTATTGGTGCATTGTACTTGCGCATAATGATGGGATCTGTTGTTATGTATTCATACGTGCACACAACATGGCAATATAATTTTGCCAATATCACTCCCCAGCACTTCCGCCATCTCTTCCACCACCTGGAACTTTTCCTCTGCTGATCTCCCTTTGATTTTCATGAGCTTCCCACCCGCCCCACACACAACTTTCTTTTCCTTTTTTGCTGTCTAGTATCAACTTATGACAGAAAACATGACCCTGACCTTCTGGGTTTGGCTTATTTCATTTAACATAATGGCCTCAAGTTCCAGATATTTTTTTCTGCACATGACACAATTTTTTATGGCTGAAAAGTACTCCTTTCCATACATATACCACATTTTCATTATCCCTTCACTCACGGATAAACACCTAGGCTAGTTCCATAATTTGACTATTGTGAATTGTGCTGCTATAGACTTGGGTAAGCATGTATCATTCTAGTGAGATGACTTTAATTCCTCAGAATAAATACTATGGAGTGGTATAGCTGGGTCACAGGGTGGCCCCATGCCTAGCCTTTTAAGGAAAACTCCAGGCTGATTTCCATAATAGTTGTACTAATTTATAATCCCACCAACAGTGTAAAAGAGTTCCTTTTTCTCCACATCCTCTCCAGCATTATTATTTATATTCTTGAAGACTGCCATTCTGGCTAGTGCAAAATAAAATCTCAGTGTCATTTTGATTTGCATTTTCCTAATTGCTAATTTTTTATATATATATTTGTTGGCCATTTGTATTTCATCTTTTTAGAAGTATTTAATTCCTTTGCCCATTTATTAATTGGGTTATTTGGATTTGGGGTGTTAAGTTTTCTGAGTTCTTTATATATTCTAGCTGTTAATTGAGAAAGAGATTCTTTTAAATCAGTAGGTCCCTGGGCATCATTCAGACCACACAGGGCTCCTGAGACGTGTGACACCCTCTCCCCACATCCAGGCCTTCTCTTCTGCCCCATGCTGGCTCTGAGAACTGCAGAGAGGGAAACTGGCTGCCCAGGTCCCCACTGAGGCTGGGAAACATCTGGGTACTCAGGGAAGGGTAGGGGCTGGGAGTTCCCCCAAAGCTGACCTTTCTCTGCAGATTGGGAAGGGGAGGGTGCAAGCCTTTGAGTTCTTGTTCCTTGCTTTCATTCTTGGGCCTTCCTCCCAAAATTCTTGAACAACTTTTAGGAGATTCAGAAAGAAACACATTTAGGATCACCCTTAAGATCCCACAGAATATCCCTCTATAATTGTCAAAGTACACAGCCAAGGACCCCCTTCCCTGCCAGCTGCAATGAACCAGAAGAGGGGGTACGATTCTTGACAAGACAGAGGCCAGAGTCCTGTCAAATGGAGCTCACCTCCTGTTGTTGATCTGAAGATCCTGGATCAGGAGGGGACCACAGAGAAGTCTTCCTCCCCTTGTTCTGGTCCTCGCACATAAGTCAAGGGCTCACGGCTGGAGCCCGGGGACCCATGCTTTAGCCTGTGGCGCCACCTAGCACACCCAGAGGGTACTTCAGAAAAAGGAGAGGGCAGGTTTGCGGGGTTGGTTTTGTTTCCACATCAGAAAAGGGAGTTTCCATTTCATTCACTGAGTTCTGGGAAATGGAATTTGTGTAAAACCTTTCTTGCTCATGATGGAAAACATTTATTTGAACCTAATGAGGGAATTTAGCCCAGAGGCAATAGTAATCAAAACTTACACGGACAAGGATTTAGTTCTCTAAACTTGCTTTCCCTCCCCACACACACACTAGTAACAGCTGTGACTGTGCAGTTTTTACTTCAAGAAGAATTTTGATTCTACCGTAAGTTAAAGATTTTGAAATTGACAAAGAGCTGCCATTTCCTTTCTTCTTCTTCTCCCCCCACCCCCATCCCGACCCCCAGCCTCTTTTTTCTTCTTCTTTTTTCTCTTGTCATATTTGCCTCTGGGCAAAGCTTCCAAGTCCTAAAGAGAAAAGAGGCTCCCAAAAACAATTCCAGTGACAAACTTAGATGGTCCAGTCAAAGGACATTCTGACAACTTACGCTGTGGCTTTGCCCTTTTGTGAGATGCGGCTTCCCCCGCTCTACAAACCCCAGCCCCAGAGGAGATGCTTGGTGTGCCTGCTCCTCCTGCAGCATACCCTGAACATAGGGAATGCTAGAGCAGCCCTTCCCGCAGGGAGAGCACACACCTATGTGGAAAGCAGAGGCTCAAGGGCGCTTCTAAGCTTCAGGTGGAAGGTGGTCCCATGACCACACTGGCAAGGGAAAGCCTTTGCCTTTGAAGGGGCCTGGAGAATGCAGAGGTTGTGGATAAGGGCTCTGGAACCAAATGCCTGGTTTGATGCTTGCTTCCCTCAAGCCTCTGGGACCTCAGTTCTCTACACAGTAAGGACAATTCTAGTACCTACTTCATTGTGGTTTTGTGATGATTAAATGAGGTTAACCATTTGAAGTGCTTAGAATAAGACCTGGCACATGGCAGGAACATAGTAAATATTAACTAGTGTTTAATCATCCTAGAACTTAAAGGGGAAAACCCTGAATTCCTTGCATCTTAATAAACCAGCCAAAGTTTTGGTCAAAGCTGAAGCTGCTTTAGAATAATTAGCATAGCAAATTGCACCCAGCCATTTCTTTTGGATATCTCTGTATGGGAGGCAGAAACAGAGACAGGAATACAGATTTTAAAAATTCTTTTAGGAGGAAGTGTTTAAAAATATATTGAGGACCAACTTCTGGATGCTCAATTAATGAAGGCAAATGACTGACAATCAGGGCTTTCTGACAGATAGGTGATCAAGGCTATTTCTCCTCACTTGCTATTATGATCATTCCCCAAACCCCAGTGCCATCCCTGATTGATTCAGTGGTCTTTCCTGAATGGTTCAATGGCAATAAGGCCTTTTGTTCATTTATTGTATTTTAAATTTCTTCATCATAAAGATCCTATCACTTCATGTCCCCAAACTAGAAATTGTGACGTAATTTTGCATTAACACCTAGATTGTTTGAAAAGTGATGTCTTTTCTGAATAATCTTAATGCTCTCAAGAGGCAGATGTTATTGTGAGGTTGAGGCAGGAGGATCACCAGGTGGAGGCCCACAGGGGTAACGTAGTGAAACCCCCATCTCAAAACAAACAATACACACACTCACTGGCATTGACGCCATAGTCAAATGACAACCAGGTTGTCATTTTTAGAGCATCTTTTCAGGTTCAGCTTCTGATCCCTATGATTGATTCTGATCTATTATTACCTTCAATCAATTTCTCACAAGAACCTACCTACAACACATTAGGAACAACCCATTTTTTTGAAAGTGGTGAATTTATGCTTATCCCACAGGTATATGCCTAAAGAAGTTTCCAGAAGGCTGACACAGCAAATAATTCGAGAGAAGCCATGCTTTATCCTTAGAAAACACAAAATGTGTATCAATGGGCAAGACTATTAAAATTGAAGCCAAAGTGCAGTGCTTCCTTGACAAAGGCAAATACTGGGTGTTCAGGCAAGGGTCAGAGGAAAATGTCTCGGATACACTTCACATGTCTCCAGGCTTCACATGGCATTTTTATTTAGATTGAATTAAACTGCAAAAAAATTATACATATTAATTTGATCTAGAAGCAGAGTAGCTTTTGAAATTCTGATTATTTATGCTCATTCCTCACCCTTATTTGTATGATTGCATTCCCAAGTGAATTGGATCAAGAGTCCTAGTTATGAAAAATTTTTGTGAGTTCAGAGAAGACGTGGACAGATGTACTAAAGACAGTCTTTTTTTAAACTGTTAAACAGCCATTTGCACTATCAATGATCTTATCCCATATACAGTTATATGTTTTCAAGGCTATTTCCAATGCTTTGTACCAGGCATACACAGAAGTACGTCTTCATGAGTCTTCTATCGTACTCATGTACATAGCCAAAGCAGTCCCTGTAATCTTTTGACTTTGGGAACAACTTGGTAAGTGAAAACTATGTTCATGGCATTTTAAACACAGACTCTCCTTCTACATTGTCGTGATGTTTTGGAGCTGGGAAAGAATCATTGACATCCTGTATATCCATACCAAACCAATTCCCTGCCTTTCATATGCCACAAATGGCCTAGTGAGATATAATGTTTTACACGTGATCTATTTGGCTACAAAATGTAATCCAGTATATAAACACATATGCTCCAAGACACATGGCTTTATGTATTCAATGTAATTCCAACTAAAATGTCCAAGTGTTTGGGGGAAATCTTGGTGTTTTAGTCAGCTTTTTCTGCTGCTGTTATGACTAAAAGGCCTAACAAGAACAATTAGAGGAGGAAAAGTTTATTTGGGGACTCAAGGTTTCCGAGGTCTCAGTCCATCCACAGCTGGTTCCATTCTTTGGGGCTCAAGGTGAGGCTGAATGTCATGGCAGAAGAGTGTGGAAGAGGAAAATGGTTGGGGACATGTCACTAGAAAGCAAAGAGAGAGCTCTGTTCAACCAGGACAAAAGCATATCCCCAGAAACTTACCTCTGCCAGTCACACCCTATCTGCATTTAATTACCATGTGGTTAATCCCTATTAGGGGCTTGATTCACTGATTCATAATCCAATCATTTCACTTGTAAACCTTCCTGCATTGTCTCATACATAGGCTCTTGGGGGACACCTCATAACTAAATACTTGTCATGTTAATCTTTTTTTTTTTTATTGGTTGTTCAAAACATTACAAAGCTCATGATATATCATCTTTCATATATTTGATTCAAGTGGGTTATGAACTACCATTTTTACCCCAAATACAAATTGCAGAATCACATCGCTTACACATCCACATTTTTACATAATGCCATATTAGTGACTGTTGTATTCTGCTACCTTTCCTATCCCCTACTATCCCCCTCCCCTCCCCTCCCATCTTCCCTGCATCCTTCTCCAATCAAGGCACCAGGGGTAAAAGCATGTACATATTTTTCTCCTCTCTAGAAGGTCATCTTAGAACCAGTAAGCCACGGTGTCCTCCCCAACCTCCCACCACTTCCTTTCCCCCCAAGTCTATGCAAGGGGGTAGCAACTTATTAGGGTCTCTGTTTCAGAGAGTGAACCTGACCTCAGCATGGGGAAATCTCATCAAAGAAATTAGATGTAGCTAAAAACAACAAAAAAACAAAACAAAAAACTGATAGGCACACAGAGAATCCCATGATCTTGACTGGCAGACCCCGACACCCAGGTCTTGCCTTGCATTTCTCATGCCTTCCTTTTCAGGTTTGTTGGCCCCTGGAATGGAATGGTCTAACCCATCAGAACCCCAGTCTCCTTGCCTGCCTCGGCAGAGTCCACCCCACCTATTCTCTAATGAGCAGCCGTTCCTCCACCCAGCCTCTGGGGGTAACGCCTTCCCCCACCTAAGCCTTCTTATTTTAAAACAAACAAAACTGTTTCCCACTGGGCCCTTATGATTGATTCCTTTTGATTCTTACTTCATCCTCAAACCTGACTCCAGACAACCCCCCCATACACACACACACACACACACACACACACACACACACACACACACCTCTTTTCATTCTTTCCTGGATCTCTTCCCTGCATTTAGCTTTGTTTAGTTTTGTTTCCATTTGGCCAACCAGGCCTGTACAGGCAGACCCTATTTTGGCCACAATCAATCAGTTCTTTGGATCTTCCTCATAAAGAGAATCATGTTTTCTTCTAAGAACAATATCAAAATGAGGGGGTGTGTTCCTCAAGAAAGCTCAGCCACCATTAATTAAATGAGTTCAATAAAGTGTGCTGCTTGGAATAGCATCATATTTTTTGATAAAGGGTCTCTGAATGAGCACATTTGAGTGAAAGTAGTTTTAACAAGGTCAATCCCTGAACCCTTCCACTGCAAGAATGCCCATTCCTTTCCATACCTTTGTGTGTGACTGACACATCTTTTTTTAATAAAGGGTTTGTCTGTGGACAAGCATCTGGGCTGCAGAACAACCCCTGAATCACAACATGTGTAGTAACAGTGTGTCAGCTCTCACAAAGCAGAGTTAAATAGTTGAAGGCCCTGATCTCCAATTCCTATAACAGCACAATGCACCGTGGGCCACATGACCTTCAATTTGCTTTCGGGTCCATCCATCACCTTGTTGCCTCCCTGTAGGACCCTTGCTCTTCCTTTAGCATGAACCCCAATAAACCTCCTGCATCCAACTTGGCATCTGCTTCTCTGAGAGCTCAACCCATGACAGGAGTCAAAAAGCTGTAGATCTTAGGAGAAGGAGCAGCTTCCCCTATTCCTTCTCATCTCCAGTGTTTCAGGGGCGATTAATCTGAATTCCTTTGAAATCATCTTCACAGACTTCTGGGGAAAATGCTTATATCACTACTTTTTGATCATCTGTTTTCAGCAGTAACCACCCACCACCCACTTTCCTCTGTGGAGGCTGAGAATATTGCTCTTTTGTGCATTTGTGTGTGTGCACTCACACACACACACACACACACACACACACACACACACACACAGAGTCCACTTCTCATTTACCCATCATCATAATTGAGTTAGAATCATTTCCTCAGTAAGCAAATCATTATGACTGCACATAGTGACTAACGCTCCAATCTAATATGATTGCTTGTTTCCCCCTCATATTTTCCTTCCCAGAAATCAGCATTTGTCCTGCTTTTCCATTTGCTTGGCTTTCTATGTATTTATCACAAATTTGTCCAAACACTCTCCCTATAAATCTTTTTCTGGATATATAGTCAAACAAATGAAGTACTCCATTAATCTCATCTTCTTGAAGATGTCTCTTCCAGAGCCTTCTAGACTGCCATTATTTTGCTGGACTGATTTCTAGGACTGCCTCTTGTTTTCTTGGAATCTCCTTTTCCCGTGAATTTGAGAAATTCCTTTATATATTTCTTGAATTTGATTTGTTTTCCTCTTTGAAGATTTACTTTCTTCTTCTTATGGAGCATACCCTTCAGCAGTTTCCTTAGAAAGAGTACGTGGGAGGAAAATTTTCTGAGATCTTGCTTATCTAAAAAAATCACTTCCTTTACCTTTGCACTTGATTGTTTTAAGGAGATGGTAAATGTTTGCCCCCTCATCCTTAGGCAGATGTTTTTGGTGAAATCTCCTTTTCTTTCTTTTTTTTTTTTTCTATCTCTCTATCTGGTTATGTCCTCATAGTAGAAAAATCCCTGAATAGAGACTCCCCAGGTTAAACATGTCATCAGGGTTAGAAATGTATTCACATGCTGTAGACAAGTGCCACAACAATATAAGTAATATACACATATAGCTAAGACATCCATGTTACTGAAAACTCCAAGATTTCTAAAAGCATAAAATGAGCAGGTTGTTTTCCTCACCTAGTTTCCCTCCCTCTAGAAAACTCCTACTTGTTTCTTGTGATTCCTTTTAGAGATATTTAATGTACACAGAGTTCATTATTAGGGAATAAGTTGATAACCTGAAGGGAGCTTAATGAATAAATTTTTCAAAAAGGTGTGGATAAAAGAGAAAAGGAAATAACCTGGAATGGTAACATGTCCAGGAAATAACAGCAGCAGGCAGATTTTTCTAGACCCATGCAGGGAGGAGGAGAGGATGTGGTTGGTGAGGGCTGTCCAGCATGAGCAATGGCTCTTGGTAGAGATTTAAAGCCCCTCAAGTGGAAACAAAGAAACCCCTTAATGCTTTAGGCAGAGTTCTCCAGAGAAACATAACCAGTAAGATGTATGGACACATTCATGTGCAAAGGGAGATTTGAAGGAACTGACTCATGATCTTGGGGGCTGGCCACTCTGAAATCGGTAGAGCAAGTAAGCAGACTGAATAGCCTTCAGCTGATTAGATGAGGCCCACTTATATAAGGGAGGATAATCTTTTTACCCTAAGTCCATTGATTTCAGTGTAATCCTACACACCTATAATCCTGGCTATTCAGGAGGCTGAGGCAGGAGAAATACAAGCTCAAGGCCAGCTCAAGCAACCTAGTGAGACTGACTCAAAATAAAAATTTTAAGAAGGGCTGGGATGTAGATCAGTGGTAGAGCCATTGCCTGGGATGCATTAGGCCCTGGGTTCAGTTCCCAGTACTACACACACCACACACACACACACACACACACACACACACACACACACACACGTTGATAACGTCTAGAAGTGCCTTCACAGCAAGATCTAGGTGAGCATTTGACTTAGCCCAGTCACCAGGTACGTTTGTATCACAGGCAGTACACACAGTTCATATGCTCAGAACACACAGTTGCTAGGGAATAGTGAGGAAGGACTCCAGAGGAGCAAAGGCTAACTAACTAGGTCTATTTATTATTTTTTATCCTTTTGTACACTGACAGTAACACACAGCACATGTTGCAGCATTTTTTATACCTTGCTTCATTCCTGTTTTACATCTTAGAGATATTTTCACATTAGTACATGGTTTCTTCATTCTTGTTTCCATTTTGTTGCTGCACAATGATTTATTTTACTAGTCTGCTGCTTATAAACATGTTTTCTCTCAGTCTTTTGCAATCACAAATGACGCTGTAGTGAATACTACTTGCATGTCCATTATTTGCATCTGTGCAGGAATGACAAATTCCATTAAGTATAATTGCTGGGGAAATGAGTATCAACAAACTGTCAAACTGCCCACTGAAGAATCTTACCAACTTATACTCCTAAACAAACAAACAAAAAAAAAAACAAAATGGACTCTATCTCCACTTCCTAATGCATATAAAACTCACAAGATTGAATTTCTGGTTCTTTGTTACTCCAATAGCTAAACATGATATTTTGCAGTAATGCTGCATTTTCAGAAGCATAAACATGAACATACTGCATCACAAATCTTACAACAAAAGATTTTGCAATATTTGTCTGCAAAATGGGGTGGCAATAGAGTTCCAATCTTATGAGATTTTTAGAGGAGTTCTGCATGTCCTGTGTTTAGTGTAACATCTGACCTGTGGCAGGCACCCAATAATTGCTCACCAATTGCTGATACCAAAAAGAATGAAAAAAAAATGATGAATTTTCTCTCAAAAAGAAAAAAATGATCATCACTTTAACAGATAAATCTGATAAAGAAATACATATGGTTATTAAGAATGTTAAAGGGAATGTTTCTAGATTTCTCACATAAAACATATAAAGAATGTTGCTTTGAATATTCTTTTGTGTAAAATAATATACTGTAAAAAAATGCATCCAGCACCCCATCTGTGTGTCAACCCTCATTTGGGCACTAGCTCTCTCTGTTAGGGTTTTGAAATGCTACATGGATTCAGTTGTGGGGACACTGCCTGTTGCCTTCAGAACAAAGGAAAACCCGGGTCTTTCCATGGAGTGTAGGACTCCTACTCATGACTTCATGTCTGGGGGTAGAGGTGATGAGAGGAGTCTTAGGAGCACTGTGAAATGATGGGGTCCTTTTTACCCCTGAAAAATGATGCCTTCCACGGGACCTTCCTCTGGGAGCACCTGAACTTTCCTCTGTGTCTGCTGACATTTGTAAAAGGATGTGGGCCAAGTTTCCTCTTCCCTTGGCTCCTTTCCAATGATTTTCCATGGTAAGACTTTACCTGTTTCTAACATTCCCATTATATAGGAACTTCCCCCCCACACACACATGGAAACCTTCCTTACTCTGATCAGACTGACTTTTTCTTGGCAGGGAGGGGTTTTTTCCAGGGATGGAACTCAAGGACACTCGAACACTGAGCCACATCCCCAGCCCCATTATGTATGTTATTTTGAGACATGGTCTCACTGAGTTGCTTAGCGCCTTGCTGTTGCTGAGACTGGCTTTGAACTTGCGATCCTCCTGTCTCAGCCTCTTGAGCCAATGGGATTAGAGGTGAGTGCCACGGCACCTGGCCAGATTCTGACTCTGCATGCAAGATCAAAGTCATTCCTCAGTAAAGACTCCCCACCCACTCTGCTTAGGTACTTAAAAATAACACTTTCCTCACTTTGCTCAAACTCTCACCTCCTACATCAGACAATGGAAATGCCCTCCTTGCCCGACTCTGTGTCCGACTCCCACACTCCAACCTCCACATGGAAGCACTGCCTTCACCCTGATTGGATTCTCACATCCACCCTGGGCCATGAAGTCTCCTCTAGATCTTCCAACCATTAGACACTCTCTTCCTCTGTCCTATTGAGGATTTCATTTTTCAAAGAAGGGAAGAAGACGAAAATGAAAAGATGGATGTTTTTATTCCAATGGTGGCATGTTAATGTCAATACATATTAAATAACAATTAGTACACCACAACAATGGCTTCATACATGTTATTGGTTAGGACAATGCTAAAGTATTTAAGGTTTTTGATCATTTAAAAATCTTGAGAAAATACACAGATATGGATGAAATTGTGAAGACAGAAAAATGACAATTAGGTATTTTTAATATCCTTTAAATTCCCAGAGCCTTTGTGTATGCATTCATATTCATACTTTTTCCTCATAACATATATCTGTTCATAACATGAATATTAGCTAAATTGCCTGTCTTATTCATTGACTATAGTCAGGATAATTCTTTGGGAAGCAGAGGCCAAGTAGGAAACATTATTGCTAGTAGCCACACTTATTAAATAGTACTTATTTTGCTGAACAGGAAAATTATCAAACCAGATCTGCGTACTTTAGGTTTTAATCTACAGCAATTTGAGGAATTGCATGAAAGTCTACCTAACCCACACCTAACATCTCTGTTCCCATAAAAGGCAAAATCTCAATACTCCCTGTCTGTTACAAAGCATAAAAGTGGATAGTTTGAATATAAGTAGTGTCCCCCCAAAGATCCAGGAGTTAAAGGCTTGGTTCTCAGGGTAGCACTATTGAAAAGTGCTACGGAATTTCAAGAAGTAGAGCTTGTGGAAGGTTCTTAGGATGTGGCGGGGGAGGGGGATACCTGAAAGGTGAACTGTGAAATAATATAAAGTATCTTTTGCACAACCTAAAAATTAATTCCAGAAGCAAATCTCACAAATAAGTGAGAGTTAAACCACATGCTCCTGAATAAACATTGGCCAATAAAGAAATAAAAAGAAAGTAAAGACATTAATTAAAAATATCTTGAGAAAATGGAAATACTACATAACAAAATTTATGGGATGTAGAAATAGCAGTTCTTTTTTGATATTTATTTTTGAGTTGTACACAATATCTTTATTTTATTTATTTTTATGTGGTGCTGAGGATAGAACCCAGGGCCTCAAACATGCTAGGCAAGTGTTCCACCGCTGAGCCACAGCCCCAGTTCTACGAGGACAGTTTATAGCAATAGATGCCTACATTAAGGGAAAAAAATCAAATAAACAACCTTATCAAAGAAAATATAACAAGCCAGGTTGGTGGCACATGCCTGTAATCCCAGCGGCTCAGGAGGTTGAGGCAGGAGAATCAAGTTCAAAGTGAGCCTCAGCAACTTTGTGAGGTGCTAAACAACTCAGTGAGACCCTGTCTCTTAATAAGATACAAAAAGGGGCTGGGGATGTGGCTCAGTGGTTGAGCGTCCCTGAGTTCAATCCCCAGTACCTCCTCCCAAAAAGAAACTGCAACAAGGAAAATAAGTTTAACACAAGGAAGGAAATAACAAAGATCAGAGGAGAAATGAATAAGATAGAGACTAGAAAGGATCAACAAAACTAAGAGTTGGGGGCTGGGGCTATAGCTCAGCAGCAGAGTGCTTGTCTAGTACGTGTGATGCACTGGATTTGATCCTCAGCACCACATAAAAATAAGCAAATAAAATAAAGGCTTTCTGTCAATCTATAATTATTAAAAATAAAAATAAAAATAACTGAGAGTTGGTGTTTCTAAAAATATAAACAAAATTAACAAACCATTTTTAACTCAGAAAAAAAGAGAGACGATGTAAATAAAATCAGAAATAGAAGAGGAGACACTATGATCAATGCTAAGAAATGCAGCATAGGATACTACTATGAACAATTATATGCCAAAAAAAAATATGCATCTCTGAGAAATGGAGAAACTCCTAGAAAAATACAACCTACCAGGACTGATTCATGAAGAAAGAGAAAAAAATCTGACAGACCAATAATGATTAAGAAGATTGAATTTGTAGTCATAAGCCTCTCAACAAAGATAAACCAGGGGCAGATGGCTTCACCGTTGAATTCTACCAAACATTTGAAGAAGGATTAATATCAACCCACACTCCTCCCAAAATTTGAAGAGGAGGAAATACTTCCAAACTTATTTTAAGAGGTCACTAGTGCCTGATGTCAAAGCCAGCCAAAGACATTACCAAAAAAAAAATAAATAAATAAAGAGAGAGAGAGAGAGAGAGAGAGAGAGAGAGAGAGACCAATATTCCTGGTGAACACAGATGTAAAAATCCTCAATGAAGCACATAAGCAAACTGTATTCAACAGCACGTTAAAATGATCTGACACCACAACCAAGGAGGAGCAAAAATAGTTCCATGTATGAAAATTTATAATTGTGATATACTACAGTAACATGATGAAGGATAAAAATCATATAATCATCTCAATCAATGCAGAAAAGCATTCAATAAAATTCAAAATTCTTTCTTTTTCATAATGAAAAAAATTTCAAACTCAACAAATTAGGTACAGATGGAAGGTACCTCGGCTTACTAAAGGCCACGGATGACTAGCTCACAGTGGTGAAGGGCTGAACCCTTTCCTCTAAGATCACAAACAAGACAAGGATTTCTACTCTCGCCACTTGTATTTAACAGAGTACTAAAAGTCCTAGCGGGGCAATTAAGCAAGAGGGGGAAAAAAGGAAGAAATGAAATGTCCTATGTGCATACTTGAAATTGGGTATACTTAAAATTTACTAAGAGAATAGCTCACAAAAAAGAAAAGTAAACATGAGATGACAGGTAAGTTAATTAGCTTTATTTGGGTAGTAATTTTACAATATGTATCAAAACACTACAATGTATATCTTAAATATATACAATGTTTGTCAATTGTATATATTTAAGATATAAATTTAAACCTCAATTTAAAATGAACAGATAAATATTGACTAGTTAATAAATAAAAACCACAATAAAAAGGGGCAAATAATAGAGGAAAAGCAAGAAAGAAATATCATGTGTCAGGGAAAATGATGATTTCACAGTGATGATTTTTTCAAATAGTAGGCAAGCCACCAATGCTCAGAGTTAAAATGGGAATGGCATTCATTACACAGGAACACTGGAACCACCACCACCTCACTGTCAATAAGCTACTTGGGAAATACTGATGATATCACTATTAAATGCCTCAGAATTTAAACATTTGAACTTGGTGCAGAGGCAATGATAGAAAGCAGCAGCCCTTGATTTTTGGCAATGAGCTAATCAACCTGTGAAAAATGTAGGTTTTCACAAGTAAAACAGAAAGTCAGTTTGCAGGAAAAGGCAAAGGTTAAGGTCCTGGGAACATTTTAAACAAGTAATTGGATACAATTTTGTAAAAATTCCTCAAGAGCAGTATTAGGAGTAATTTGACAAACTGGTAGCTAAGCAGAATGTGGAAACCTCTTGTTTTGAATTTATTTAAAATAAACTCTTCCAATTAAAGCGAGCAGTTAAAGTGACATGTTCAGCATCAAGTTTTATAAACGGATGCCTCTGTGATTTACACATTCTGATATCCATAGAAGGTGATTTGTTGTGATGATTTCAAATTGCAAATTCTCTCACCAAGAAACAGGTAAATTCTCTCTCCGTCCCCCACCCCTCTCATATTAGGTTGAACCCAGGGGCACTTAACCACTGAGCTATATCCCCAGACCTTTTTTATTTTTTATTGAGACAGGGTCTTTCTAAGTTGCTGAAGCTGCTTTTAAACTTGCAATCTTCCAGTATCAGCCTCCCAAGTTGCTGAAATTAGAGGCATGCGCCACCACACCTGGCCTAAATAGCAATTGATGTGCCACATTTATAGGCTGATATATAAGGTTGATCCTGATGATTATGTTGACTTCTTTTTAGGTGTTATTGAAATACTTTTAGTATTATAATTTTTTAATTTGTTCTAATTAGTTGTACATGACAGTAGAATGCACTTTGACACACTATACATAAATGAAGTATAACTTCTCATTTGCCTGGTTATACATGATATAGAATCACACCAGTTGTGTAATCATTTATGAACGTAGGGTAATAATGTCCAATCTATTTTACTATCCTTCCTACTCCCATATCCCCCTCCCCTCCTTTCACTCCTTCTGCCTAATGCAGAATATCTCTAGTCTTTCCTCACCCCCCACTGTTTACTGGGAATTAGCATCCACATATTAGGGAAAATATTTGGCCTTTATTTTTTGGGGGGGAATGGATGGGGGGTTGGCTTATTTAGCTTAGCATGATATTCTCCAAGTCCATCCATTTACCAGCAAATGCCATCATGTCATTCTTCTTTAAGGCTGAATGATATTCCATTGTGTATATATACCATATTTTCTTTATCCATTCATCTGTTGAAGGACACCTAGGTTGGTTCCATAATTTAGCTATTGTGAGTTGAGCTGCTACAAACATTAATGTGTCTGCATAACTGTAGTTTGCTGATTTAAAAAAATATATATTTATTAGTTTATATAAACGTATATTTATATAAACATATATAAACATATGTTTATATCTATATCTATATATCTATATCTATATCTATATATATATATTAGTTGTTGGTAGACTGTATTTATTTATGTGGTTCTGAGAACCAAACCCAGTGCCTCACACATGCCAGGCAAGTGCACTACCCCTGAGCCCCAGCCCCAGCCAATGTAGTATGCTGATTTTAAGTCCTTTGGTACAAACCAAGGAGTGGGATAGCTGTGTCAAATGGTGGTTTCATTCCAAGTTTTCTGAGGACTCTCCATACAGCTTTCCATAATGGTTGCACCAATTTGATTGACTTTTTAAAGGAATATTTATCTTTTAGAAAAGTAAACTGAAATATTTCTAAATAAAATGATAGGAAGCTTTGCATTTGCTTCCTAATCATGCAGAGGAATGGAAGAAAATGGATAGATATTCAGAGAGAATAAGTGTAGCCAGGAGCAAATAATTATTTAAGCTGAATGATAAGAACACGGAGTATCTTATGCTAGTTTTCATTACTTATGTATATGTTTGAAATTTTCCACAATAAAATGTTTTTCAAAAATAAGACCAGGGCCAGGTGCAGTGGTGCAGGTTTGGTGGTGCACGCCTGTAATCCCAGTGGCTCAAGAGGCTGAGGCAGGAGGATAGCAAGTTCAAAACCAGCCTCAGCAACTTAGCGAGGCCTAAGCCATTCAGTGAGACCCTGTCTCTAAATACAGTATACAAAAGGGCTTAGGATGTGGCTCAGTGGGTAAGCACCCCTGAGTTCAATCCCCAGTATAATAATAATAATAATAATAATAATAATAATAATAATAATAATAATATCATCTCTGAGATAAAAAGATGGTGAAGCTGAGATGGTTTGTTTTGATTGTTGTAGTGTCAAAAGAACTGAATAAAATTCATCCTTCTGGGATGTGACACAATAAATCTCTTTAAAAAATGAAGGAATCACATTTGGGCACCGAATGAAGGGCCTTCAACCTTCCCTGCAACTTTATCCTCTGCTCCAGGTGACTCTTAGGATGGCAGGCTGCCCCAGGGACAGAGCCTGGTCGGCGCTGGCTGTGCTCACCTGAGTCAGGTGTTGTTTCACTAACTGTGATGGTGAGACCCACTTGAGAGAAGTCAACGGGGTCTAGAAGGAATCCATTCAGTGTCTTCAAAAAAGAGTTTCTCCCAGAGCATTTGTGTTTTTGTCTAAATCAGTTATGTACTTCAGCAGGAGCCTAAAGTGAGGTTGGTGGAAGGCTCCGAGACTCATTGATCTCCGCTTTACAAAATGAGCAAAATCAGATACATTTCCTGGTGAAAAATTAATGCAAATATTGGTACTTTTGACATGTAATTTGGGAAATTATTTTGAAGCTTTGTTAATATAATAAAAGTAGTCCCAGCTTGTGTATTAATTTTACGTCTTTTTAAATGGCAAAAGAATTTATCTTTTTGTGCTGGGAAATGTCAGTCTTCAAACAAGATCTTTCTTTCCTTTTTTTTTTTCCTAATAGATTTTGTGTTTGTTTATTGTCATTTGGGTAGTGAACAAGTTTTGGGGACAGAAGGGAAGGTTATCAAAGGAAAAAATCTGAAAAATTCAACAGAGATTAGACAGAAGGATTTCAATGGTAAATTTCCATCTATATTTGAAGGAATCTTGAGTCACCCACACACGGGTGTGCCTTGTCCCTTTCTCGTGTGTCCTGTTTAGCAGAAGCCAACTCAATCTTTGTTAACTTTCCCTACCTCATTTTGTGAGGTGGCAGTTATTAAATATTGTTCACACCCCCCGCCCTGCTGTAGGAAGGTCATGAACCATCTTTGCAGACAGCCTGAGAATCAGGACCAGCATAAGAAAGGAGTCCCATAGGCAGGAAATAGCCTCATCTTGAGATTTATATTAGAAGCTGGAACTGATTTCATTGATTTGGGGACAATGTTCATTTCCCCTCTTCCCTAGAGGACAAGCACACTTCCTTACCCCACTGAATTGAATTGACCTTTGTCTCACTTTGACCTCTCAGGAGCAGGCCTCGGAGGAACAGAAGTTTTGAATGTGGTCCTGTGATCTGACTTTTCTCTTGGGCTTCCTTGATCTGCCACATTAAGAAGATGCCCTACACGACTCTCAATCCAGGGGAATATGAAGACACGTTGAGCGGATCTAAGCCCAGCCTGAAGCTTAAAGTCAGCCCCCATAACCTGCAGCCTGAAGCAATGTTGTCCTAAATGGTACTTAGAACTGTGAGGATAAAAATACAAAATCTTGCTTTGAGCTAGCGACTTTGCGATGGTATTATGGTGTGAATGTTTTTGTACCCTCCAAAATTCCTGTGTTGGAAACTTAATTCTCAATGCAACAGTGTTGAGAGGTGGGGACTTCGGCGCAGTGTTTCAGACTAATGCCCTACAAAAAGGGCCTGTGGGAGTGGGCTCACTCTCTCCCTCTTTCCGTCTTCACCATAGGACCTCACAACATTCCTCTTCTCTGGTGGATAAAGCAATAAGGCACATCTTGGAACCAGAGACCAAACCCTACAGTGCCTTGATCCTGGACTTCCCAGCCTCCAGAGCTACAACAGCTAGAAGAAGACATACAGTAACACCCCGACACATAGATTCAGGCATCAATACCCCCAGAAAGACTCCTGCAACTCAGGAAACGAAGCCAAGAGTTAACAAATGGAATGGCATTAGATGAAAAAGCTTCTGCACAGCAAAGGAAATAATTATGAGCTTGAGGAGAAAGCCCACATAATGGGAGAAATTCTTCCAACAGAAGATTAATATCCATAATATAGAAAAAAAACCCAAAAACATAATAATAATAATACCCAATCAATAAATGGGTAAATGGATTAAACTGGCATTCCCCAAAAGAAGAACTATAAATGTCCAAAAATACTTGATAAAAAAACATTTGACATCCTTAGCAATAGGGAAATGCAAATCAAAACTGATATTTCATTTTACTTCAATTAGGACAACATTGCTTCAGGCTGCAGGTTACCGGGGCTTGCTTTAAACTTACAGTGGAGTTTAACTTGGCCCAAAAGAATGAAATTATGGCATTTTTAAGAAACTGGATGGAACTGGAGAACATTATGGAGGAAATAATGCCAGACTCAGAGAGCCAAAGGCTAAATGTTTTCTCTCATCTGTAGAAGCTAGAGAGAAAAAAAAGGGAAAACACGAAGTGGGGGAAAGTGTTTATAAAAATAAAAGGAGAATCAATAGAGCAGAGATATAGAAGATGGGGTCAGGGGAAGGGGAGAGGAGGGATAGGAGTAGCACTGGGGAATGAAATCATCTTATGTGCATGTATGAACATATCACAATGAATCACAATGTCATGCATAAATGTAATGCTCTAATAAAAATCTGTTTAGTTTTTATGCATCATTATTGCATCAATAGCTGACAAACGTAGAAGACATTTGCAGACATAAAGAAACTGAAACATTGGAGCAACTGCATTTTCTAGGAAGACTGTATGATACAATGACTCACCTTTATTCAGTTGTGGACTAAATGTTTTCTCACTTTGTATGTTGAAATCCTAACTCCCAAGGTGCTGGTGTTAGGATACGGGTCTTTAGAGGTTATTAGGTCATACGAGTGGAGCCCTCATGAATGGGATTAGTGTCCTTATTAAGAGAAAGCTTTCTCCTCCTTCCTTCTATCATGTGAGGTCACAGCAAGAAGACAGCCTTCTATGAACCAGGAAGCTGGCCCTATCACCAAATCTGCCAATACGTGTATCTTAGGCCCTCCTGCCTCCAGAACTCTAAGAAATAAATGTTTACTGTTTAAGCCACTTAGACAGGCTGCATTTTGTTATCCTGAATGGACCAAACATGGACTTTTGTTGTTGTTGTTGTTGTTGTTGTTGTTGTTGTTGTTGTTAGTGGGGATTGAACTTAGGGGCACTTTACCACTGAGTTATATCCCCAGTCCTTTTTAGTTTTATTTTGTAACAGGGTCTCTCTAAATACCAAGGCTGGCCTTGAACTTCTGATCCTCTTGCCTCAGCCCCCTGAGTTGCTGGGATCATATGTGCGTGTCACCAGGCCTGGATGACATGGACTTAAAAGTCCAGTGAATACCTTGGTAAGTACCTCTCCAAAACGTCTTCCTTTCATCCCCCATTTCTTCCTCGGATCTCAATGTGAATCCACCTCATCAGCAGAATATAGCTGAAGCCCTAGATGCAAGGAAATTGGGGTAGTGATTTTTTAGCTTTCCAACCTCTGATAACTTGAATGGGCCAATCTACTCTTCCTCACAGAGTACTGTGTGAGTAGAAGTGGAGGAATTTAGGGGGATAGGAGAAAACAAAGCTGGATATAATGACAATAAAGAAGAAGCTAGTGACTAATGTTAAAATCCAAAGAAACAGAAGAATGCCAAGAATATAAATCACCTGCTGAACTGAGTACTAATGATGTCCCTGGAGACCAGAACAGGAGCTGCTTCACTGGAAAGAAGAACAGATGAGAAAGTGGAGATCATGAATCCAAAGCATTCTTTCCAGAATCTTGGTTAAGAAAGGAGGGCGGGTGAAGGACGTGGTTGCCATCCATGTGCCTCAGTGTAGTGATGAATCACTCCTCCATGAGGGGTTGGCAAGCGCTAGCTGAGGGAAACTGACTAGGACAGATTCAACTTCTCCACTCTTTGACTTACCTTTTCATTATCCTCTCCTCATACACTGAACCAAAGTGGTTTTCTTCTTTCTGTGAGTGGACAGAAATAGCTCTTTCTGTGAGTGGACAGAAATAGCTCTCAGCTTCTCTTTGCCTTTTCTCGCTGTTGGATTATCACAACCCACGGCTTGCAAAACTTCCCTGAACTGCTGTCTCACTGACTCCACTTTTCTCCTTGTCCACGCAACCTGTATCTCATTACCCACTGGCTAGATCTGATTTATTGCTTACCTTGTTGTTGTGATTGATGTTACTTCTCACATTATACTAACATTTAGCAGTTTTCACAGTTTTCTAGGTCAAACCATCCTGACATTGGTAGATACTGCAAGGAATCTCTCAATATTCATCTTTCTTTCTACCATTCGGTAAAATTTCCCCCCCAGGTTTACCTGAGTCCACCTACATATTAATAGCTTGGCTTCTGTTATTCTATTTTCTATTTCTATAACAAAATGTCTGAGGCTGGATAATTTATAAAAGAGGTTGACTCAGCTCACAATCACGGAGGGTGCAAGTCCGAGACTGGGCCTCCCCACCTGTCCAGCCTCTGGTGAAAGCCTTCTGACTACATCACAATATAGCAGATGGCATCATGGTGGAAGGTCATGCAGAAAGGAAAGAGCAGCTACATGGCAAAATAGGAAGCAAAAGAAATTCAGGGAACAAACTTGGTCTTTTTATAACAACCACCCTTCCGAGAACTACCCAAGGTTCCCTGAGATCGACATTCAACTCTTCCAAGGATCATAGCTCCATGACCTAATTTAATTACCTTGCACTTGGCTCCACCTAGTAAAGGTTCCACCAACTCCCAATACAGCCTGGGGCCTGTTTCCAGCTCTACAATTGTTGGTAGATACACTCAAACCACATCCAAACCCTAGCGGCTTCTCCTGCAGCCAGAAATGACCATATGACTAGGTTTGAACCCCAAAGACTCTCACTTCCCCATACCTCTCACCTGGCTGGAGAAAGGAGATGACTGGCTGGAGCAATCCTGAAGCCGAATGCTGAATGTATTGGAGATGCTCTACCTATGCAGGCCAGTCACCTGGAGACTATGAAAATAGGGGAGAGGCAGATTTAGATTTGGGGGAAGTTATAGTGTTTTGTTTTAAACTTGAGGAAGATTAGAATATGCCATCTCGAAATATGACAATTTTATAAGAATTTGGGTTTTTTTTCAGTCCTGGAGACCAAACCCAGGGCCTTGTACCTGCTAAGCAAAAGGATTATGTTGAACTGAAGGCAAATAAAAATCCATAGATGCAGGAAGCGTTCTCTGACTCCCTTTATCTGCTTAAAAGCAAGGCATAAATTTCCCTTTGTAAATGTGTCCCATGTCCTTCCACAGGAAGAGGAGATCCACTCTTATCACCAGACATGGAGAGTTGGCACCGGCATGAATCTACACAAATAAACCTTATAAAAATAACTCTCATCTTCCATAAGCGTCCCCCATTTATCTCCTAGTCACTTCCCATTATTTATCACTCCTGAAAGCCCAAACTTTACTTTGTTAAAATGATGTATAAACTCCTGAGTCTAACCATTTCTTTGAGTTTCACTTCTTTTCTGTGAACTCCTGCATGTGTAAATTCTAATTTAAATGTGCTTGCCTTTTCTCCCATTGATGTGTCTTTCTCTAGTTTAATTCATGGGTCTCCAAATATTGAAGCTAAGGAGGCAGAGGGAAAGTTCTTCCTCCTCAACAGACTTAAATAATACAGTGGTCCTGGGATTGTCTTTGGTAACAATGTCTGTATCGTTCAGCTGCCACACACCACCCAGGAAAGGCTTCACAGTGTCCACTTCATTCTGGCATGACATCCACAATTTGTCCTCTAGCTATTACAGTGTCCCTTGACTAGAACTTCTAAAGATGTTTCTCACCTTTGTCTTGTGACATTTGGAGACTTTAAGGCAAGAATGTCTAGAACTTGGAGGACACTCTGGGAGTCTGGTTCCTTAGAAACAATGTATATCTTCTCCATGATCTTCCAACTCTGGAGTCTGCAACAAATCCAGTAAAAGCTGCTTAGCTTTTCTGTGGCTCAGTTATGAGAACTGGGAAAGTAACTGTACATGTCTTCACAAGCTGCTATCACAGTAAATAGTTTTAAGTGAATTTACAATACAGGTTTACAGTATTATAATGACACAGTTAAATAAATATCCCACTTTTGCAATTTTTAGGATAAAATATAACCATGTGACCCAGTCCTTGGGCCTCTCCCTGGATCTTGGAAAAATCTGTGTCATTAGCTTAACAGTAAATCCACCTCTGCCTACCTGACAGAGTCCTTAGGAGATGACAACATACACTCAGGATCACTAGCACTTAAAGCGCCTTTGAGCTTCTGACACAAAGATATGTGTCATCTTCCAGACATGGGACTCTGAGGTTGGTCAAAGGAGCAAGGGCTGCATTTGGGCTTTTATGCTTCCCCCTTGCTGGTTGCCTGAGGCATCAGGAAACTCAGGGCTGCTCTACATCTGTGTGGTTGGTACATGCCATTATTTATCATTCCTGAAAGCCCGAACTTTACTTTGTTAAAATGATATATAAACTCCTGAGTCTAACCATTTCTTTGAATTTCACTTCTTTTTCTGCATACTCCTGCCAACAGGGTGGAGGCGAGTGGAAACCAGACCCAAGTCTAATTTTCTTGTCAAGTGTGTGTCTCAGCATGCAGCTACATATATGCAAGAACAGGGCTTCCAATGGAATCTCTCTGCCAAGCCCTGCACCCACTTTTGACTGACGTGCAGGGGGACTTTGGAGTTGGTGGGTGGTTAGTCCTGTACTTGATACCAGTGCATACAGCAGCTCTGGCTCCTGGCATACGATAAGCACTTTGTAAATACAAATGTTCCGTTTTGTCCACCTCTACCATTATTTCCTATCTGTGTACACTTCTTTTTTTTTTTTTTAAGAGACAGAGAGGGAGAATTTTTTTAAATATTTATTTTTTAGTTTTCGGTGGACACAACATCTTTGTTTTTATGTGGTGCTGAGGAGTGAACCGAGTACCCCGCGCATGACAGGCGAGTGCGTTACTGCTTGAGCCACATCCCCAGCCCTGTGTACACTTCTTATTTGCTCAATCTGGTATAACTAGAGGCCACTTGGAAAGTTAATTTGCATACTTTCAAGGATGCTATTGGAAACCTAATTGCCATACCCAGTGTGTCCCCTGTGTTTAACAGGAAAGAGGGTATGTAGGGTTGGTTCACATAAGATACCATGTGTGAGGATTCCACCAGTTCTTCAGCTGTCTGCATTGGTACAGAGTGATGAAGATCCCTTGATTGGCCAACCCAGACAGACTCCCGACCTTCTCTCACTTCATCTTTGTACTCCCTTGTAAAGTCATTTTAGCAAAGTAACTTGCTACGTTAGTTTAGCAAAATGTCCTGCCCTTGATGTCTGATCATCCTGGATCTCTAATCAGCTTTCTCATTCTACACCATCCCCAAAGTGGTCTGATCACCTAGACCTGTGTTCAGCAAGAATCTGGTCAGGTCCCTTTCTCCATAATCCTCCTTGTCACGCATGTTGCCTCTTGGTAGGTTTTCCATCCACTGACCTTCACCCTGAATCTTGGCTATAAATTTCCACTTTCCCATGTTGTCTGTATTTGGAGTTGACCCCAGTCTCTCTCCCCTACTTGTAAAACACATGGCCCTGGTCCCTTTACCTTTTTCTCAGGGGTCGTGAATAAAACCTTTACCATGCCTTAGCAAATATTTATTTAAATAATGGATGGGAAGGAATTTGGGATTGCACAACCGTGAGAATGTACATTTTAGGCAAAGTCTGTGCCTGGCCTGTCTCAGACCCTGGAGGTGGAAGTGGGTGGCCCTCTAATGTCAGGTTTGTAGCTAATTCCTTAAATGGCTTATTTTCTAAAAAGCAGCCACTAGAGGGCTCTTTAGAGTTCGTGG